AATAATAATAATAATAATAATAATAATAATAATAATAATAATATAGGGTAGGGTAGGGTAGGATAGCTTTATTAGACAACAAAGAATTTGGCTCCAGTGTAGAAGCTCTCAGTATGCATAAAAAGCAACAGAGTAGTAACAATCATAATAATGATATAAATAAGAGGAGCTGGTAAAGAAGATGAGAAGGATAATAATAATATTATAGTCATACAACATGGATATGTGATGTGATGTGTGTATTTAGACTTAAGACAGCACTGTAGGAATTAGGTGTTCAACAGAGAGATGGCACAAGGGAAAAAACTGTCCCTGCTGGGATCCACATTTGATGGCAAGATTAGGAGCCATTTAAAGTTTCTTCACTGTTACCATAATTATCACTGAATATTTCAGCAACAGTGTTTTGTTTTTGTATCTCTGTTGCATAGAATTTAAAGAATATTTACTGAATTTTAATTTAATTTTACCTGATAGTTTCTGCATTGATGTACTGGCCAGCCTAGGGATTTGCATTTACTATTTTTTCTGATTTGCTACAGGATTATTTTTATGCAATTCTTTGAATACTTACCTGAAAGTAAATTACTCAGAGGGTCTTGTTTTGAGAGGCATAAGATTTTATTGAAAGCACAAAATAAGCGAATTTTGGCAAATGTTCTATTTTATTTAGGAGAAGTCCTTATATTTTTTTTATCCTAGCCACTCAAAACCCCTTCCCACCCTGGAATACGATTGAAATAAACTCCCCATTCTCAGTCTACAGAACACACATATACAAAGTGTATATTTTTAATGAATACAGCCTTTCCATAAAAAGTTTGTATCCATTATTCCAAAAGAAAAAACACTTCACACAAATGTTGCTTTTCCAATCATGCAAAATTTCCACTGTGAAAGTTAAAAAAAAGAGGAATTCCATATTTTTCTCCAGACTTTGTACCTCTAGAGCAGTTGCTGTTATGAATTTTATTCCCTCTGTTGAAAAGTCCATCTATTAATGCAAGCAACACAGCATTCTGTGATAATCCTAATGGTTCAATAATGCCAAATATTTTCTATGATCCATTTTGAAATTAGTAAATTCCTGTATCTGGAAGCATCAACTTACATTTAGTTGGGATGTTTCTCTCCTGCACAGTGAGGGTATTCTCACTTTCAGCACTCCACATACGTCCACAGGGGTCTAGATACTGCACTGTCAGACCAAGGTTCTCCCCATTGGTGCTTAAGGAACGGCTTGATGGTACTAGTGTAAAGAGGTTGCCCTGTTGCCGCCGAATGCGGGGAAATGTCCTCCGGCCTGAAGAGTTAACAACCACCGTGAAAACAAGCTAAATACTCCACTCAAAAGACTTAATACAACAAAACAGGAGTGGGGTTAACATTTTGGAAGTTCAAAAAAATACCGAACTTTTGGAATACTGAACACTGAATAGAACACTGAATTTTCAGAAGTTCAATGAAATATACAAAAAATCAAGTGTAATTATTTGCTATGCAAAGGAAGAATAAAAATGAATACACACTGAACAATTCTACCTTAAGAGTGTGCAGACTAATCTTGTATTAACAATGTGCTATATGTACTGGCAGATGAAGGAGAGGAAAACCAAAGTCTTTTTGCTGTTAAAAATGGGTTTCCTTACAAAATCATCTACGAATCAGTTTTAATTGCACAATAAATTATGAATATAAGCACTCTTTTATAGATAACAAAAAGATGTTGCTTATAAGGTATTGCTTTCATTCTCTTAAAACCCTGGAATAGTCAGGAGTTCCACGTCTCAAATTAATGTAGTCCTCCTTTCCTACACATCCTCTTCACGACCTGTTTTCCTTGTTACCTTCTGGGAGAAGGAGGCTTCGTGGTATCCGTAGCAGAACATCCAGATTCAGCCAGAGTTTCGTTCCATGAAACCTTGTGAACTCTCAAGCTTCCTCCTTCCGTTATATATTCAAGATGGACAGTATTTAATATTTATTTGCTACGTATATGTAGGGGTGTGGGTCTATACATATGTTGTTCATAGTATGTTTAGGTGTGTGTCATGTATGTGTTTCACTTTGAGAGCGGGCAACTAAATTTCATTTTTGATGTGTGCCGTTGTGCAAAAAATGACAATAAAGGTTATCTTATCTTATCTTATCTTTTTGAATAAGTGTACTGCAGTAAAACAAGGAGACAAAGTTGTTTTATTGGTATATTTTTCCCTGCTGCCTCCTCCTCCTATTTTCAAGCTATTTAAAAAAAGATGAGGGGAGAAAAGGGGTTGGCAAGTGTGAAGCAGAAAGCTTTTATAGAGAATGTTGTGAAGTAGTAATATTATTGTTAAAATTAAAAAGAGATTGCACACCCACCATCATTATAATCTTTGTACTGCATAGAGACATGGTAACGCCGAGGGTATGTTCCACCTTTCTCAGGTTTATCAAAGATTTGATTCTCACGATCTACAATAAAGAAGCAAAAATGTTACCCTATCAAACATGCATATACAGAGACCCTTTCAGAAAAATATATTTTGCCACAGGTGGTAGGAAGAGAAAAAAAGAGAAATCATTAACTTCACCATGGGAAGACCTCCAATGTAGATCCATGGGAGGTGAAGTGAGAGACTTGGCACTGGGGCATCTGTCTGTCTGTCTGTCTGTCTGTCTGTCTGTCTGTCTGTCTGTCTGTCTGTCTGTCTGTCTGTCTGTCTGTCTGTCTGTCTAAGCGGTGAACATATTCCTTCCTCCTCCTTTTTTCTCCACAACAATCCTGTGAGGTGGGTTGAGCTCAGAGAGTGACTGGCCCATAGTCACCTACCTGGCTTTCAGGGTTAAAGGGGACTTGAACTCAAGGTCAGAATAAACAGAATAGCAGAGTTGGACGGGGGTCTTGGAGGTCTTCTAGTCTAACCCCCTACTCAAACAGGAGACCCTATAACATTTCAGACAAGTGGCTGTCCAATCTCTTCTTAAAGACCTCCCTTAAAAAAAACTTAAAAGGTTTCTCACTTTTTAGCCTGATGTTTTAACCACTAGATCAAAATGGTTCTTAACCACTAAATTCAAACTGTTATTAACAAAAAATGAATCAGAAGTACAGACATGATTTAATTTTTCAGCTATCTCTATTGCCCAGAAGACAGGTGATTGTTAACATCACTAACTACATATTTAAACATTTTTGTTTAGATAAAAATAAATGCAGTAAACATGCAAGTGAAATATGAAAATCCTCTAGTTTCTTTTATTTGCCAACAGCTATCTGTGTAGAAAACATCTCACCTGAGAAATCTTGCCTATTATCTGGAAAGCTCTGGGCTCTGGACATGCAGGATTTTCGGAATGAAAGGCTATTTTGAAAAAGTGGAATAGAAGAACACAATGTTACATGTTATAATGGCATGACTTCCAAAGTATTCTGTGTGTGTGTGTGTGATGTTCTTGTTACATTTTACATTTTTTTAATGATACAGATAAAAATATATAAAACTATTGTGTTATTGTGTAAGAAAATAAACACAAGAATTCAAAAGTCTGCCTATGACATGTTTGTTTATTATGTTCTATCTTATTTCCCCCTCTATATTTTCAGCCTAACTATATAGGCAAAATAGTTAAATATTAATATTTTAGTATTTAAAATAATGGAGAAAAGTTGAAACTACTACAGAATTCCTATCAATAGTTCTTGCTGTCAATACCTTTCTCCTGACTGGCTCAAGGACTGATAACTACCAGATAGGGAATTTTCAGCACTGCTTAAGGGATCCAACATCTAGAACAGAAGATTATATATAGTTAAGTTAAATTTAGCCTACAGCTGAAAGGACAGAATACAAAATTGAGTTCAGAGATTTTAAGTTAATTTCATTAAAACTGACAAAGATGAACTATGTGGGACTTTTTTAGAATCAGGCTCGTGCTCAATTGATAGTATTTCCATCTATTATATTAATGGAAATATCACCATAAGAAAAACTATAGCCTGTAAGTAGCAACCATTTTCATACTCAAGTCAAATGTTTTTTCATTTGGGGGGGCACACTTATGCATGTCCACTTTCCCATTCATTTCTTCTACATATACACATTTTTCCAGTCAATGGTGCTAAGAGAAAGGAAGAGGAGTAGGAGTAGGTTTCTTCTTCCCTCCTAACATCTTGCACAGAAGTACTGAATTGATGGGAAGAAGAAAAGAGACTTGTGGTTTACCTTGTCTCTCAACAAACTTGAAGTGATGTATCTCCTAGCAATGGGAGATAAGTTCTCTCATAACAATGCTATGTAATATTATTAGGTTCTAAATGACAGTGGACCTCAGAAACCTAGTGGACCTAGAGATTTCCTTCTTCCTGATAGCAATGCAGTCCATCCCTTCCATCCCTTCCAAGCAGATAACTAAATCTTAATATGGGAACCCAACAATTTTTGGCATGTCCAGAGGGATGAAGATAGTCCTGAATTTTGCTATCAAATATAGAGTGATTTTCCCCCCATTATAGGTAATTGTGAAAACTATATTGACTCTTACCTCTAACTGATAATGCTGATCAGTTGGAAATGGAAGAAACTGGGGCTTGGCAGGACCTTCCTAACGATACATGAATTTCCTAGCTGTATATAACCAATGCCGCCCCCCCCCCCTTGCAATATACAAATGGTCCCCAGCATGTCAACATTTCTATGAGAAAGCAAAGAATCAATTCCTGAAGCTAACATTAAAGCATAATGTTCAAAAAAGTTAATTCTATAAAATGCAGGTTTACACATACAAACATATATACATATGAAAACATTTGGGCATGGGCTGTAGCTCACTAGTAAGACATGCAGAAGGTCCCATGTTTGAAATCTGGCATCATCACCTAAGACAGTGTTTGCTCTGAAGCCCAAGGCTTCCTAAAGATTTGACTGCAGTTTCCAAACACTTTCCAAAGTTGATGCTGAATTATAATTGTGACTGTAACAGAATGGGGAAATAGTAAATATCCAGGACATAGTTACCTTAATTGCATTTAAGTAACCAAATCCAATCTAATTTTAGTCCAAATTCAATCCACTTTCTGGAGTGAATGATTCCCAACACACTACCAAATGTCAAATGTAGCCATTGGTATAAAGAAAGAGGTACATCCTTGATGCAAAGTAAGAAAAACTCAACTGATATTGAGAGAGCTGTTGCCAATTGGCGTAAGTGGTAACATAGTATGGAGGAAGAAAGATTACTGGTTCACTTTGATCTGTTTGAATGTAAGACAATTTTTTGCTATATAGCATACAAAAAGCTCAGTTGAGGAAATCAATGGACATTGCAGGCTTTATTTTTTAAACATATTTTTATCTCACTTTTTATATTGTATAAATATTTTTATATTGATAAATTCTTTGAACTTTCAACTTACGCTTTGTTCATTGGTCTCTGGTATAAATTCTCCTTCACTGTTTATGCTGGTATAAGACCCCTGGCGAGCAATTCGCTGCTGTCTCTCTGGAACATATCCTGGTGGGGGTGAACTTCGACCTGTATTCTGAGAGCCTGAAGATTTAATTATGCTTATTAAATGGCTGCACAAGATAAAGAACATCTAAAAAAAAGTGATACAAACAAAATACAAGCACCACTACTAGTGGATAGAAGGTCAGTGGCATTTGGACCAACATTAGGAATATGGCCTGAACAATGGATCTTACATAAGAGATATCTGAAAGATTGTCAGGATAATAATTTAATAGCTAAACAGCTTATGTAATTATGTAATGCAATGTAAGATGGATGATGCAATAATAGGAATGACTTGGCAGGTGTGTGTATCCCTTTAAGAGCCTCAGTATAAAAGGGAAGGCTTTTGCTGCTGTGTTCTCTCTTGTCTGTTTCCTGCTGTAATTGCTGTATGTAGGAGTTTGCTGTATCACCACGTGTATGTATTTTGCTCCTAGTGTATATTTGTTGATAGTGTAATATAAACCACCATTTAATACAAACCACTGTTTACTGTATTTACTCCTGGGTTACCTCAGTGTAATAAACGTGTGCATGCTCTGACAAAGATTCTGTATGTGTGATTCATCTGATGATAATTTAAGCAAGCATTCTGACAATGCAGAGTGATGTGACTTTGCAAATGGAAAAAGAGGAAATATGCAAATAAAAATTACAAGAAAAATCTTTAAGAACATCCCCCTTCTTCAAGAATGAATTCATCATCAACAACCTATCCACATGTCACCCAAGGCAGTCTTAGTCAGCAAGGAAGAGTATAAATCTAAAAAGCAATGGCCAAGTTCATAGACATAAGAGACCTGTCCATTTCCTCAGGTTCAATAGATTGAAACTGTTCCCAAATAAGAGGGCAACTCTTCACCCCAGGTGTCTCCACAGGACCTGTACAAATGCTCTAACTGAATGTTCTTCAAAGGGCTTTATAATTAATGATTTAATTGCTTTATATTTTTGTACATTTATTATGGATGAGAGATATTATAGCATATGAAATTAAATTAAATTCATATAGCTAGCACTAGAAGACAGGAAGTTACAAACAGAAAAGCAACTGGAAAGGAAACAGAAGGCAAGGAAGGGAGTTCTCCTATTTTTTGAATTTTTATGGATGTGATTCAGAATGGAAATGGATGGAAATAGCTGCAAAGCCATAGTTTTTAGTTCACATAACTATTAATAGTAGAGATGTGAAGAAGGAAAGAGTGTATATATATAATATTAATATGCACAGAATTGTCCAGGAGCCAAATACATGAAGATAACAAGCCAAAAATAAAAATGTTGGCAGAGCTCAATATTATTTATGGACATTAATACAGCGACAGACTAATACACTCACTGATGGACAGGTGTCTGCTTCGGGTTTCAAGTGGCTGGTAGGCAGTGTTTACATCTCCTGTAGATTGGGAAGTTTTGATTCTGACTTGCTTTGACATCCCAGAATGGGATGAAAGACTGATCTGTTAAAAACAAAGTGAGACTGCTAAGATTTAAACAATTTAGGGTTTGAAGGTTCGAATACTTTAGTTTTAAAACAATGACAATGGAAACAAATAAGCAGGATGGCATTTTTAATCTGTGACTAAAAGTAAAATCAAAATTGTTATTTCTATTTCTGCCAAGGGATTGAAGTATACAATATCATGGTAAATTCAGAATATTAATCTTGAGCTAGACAAATACTGGATAGGAACTATAGTTGGAGCGCTATGGAAATCTGGATCTGAGTTACTAACGATTTTTCACTGTAATATTAAAATTAATGAGGGATATATTGTTATCAAAGATTCCATGATATATGTGCAAGTTTATAACTTTTATTTTATCAAATATGACATATAGATAAATTCAAACTGAGGTTCAAAGGTTTTCTGAAACAGAATTCTCAGTAGTTTACAGTCTAAATATTATCTGAATTTGGTAGGCACTAGTAGAAGCAATTGGCAAATTGCCTGTAGCCCTTATAAGTAAAAATGGCATTTTTCAAGCAGAAAATTACTTCTTAAACAGTGAAAGATATATAATCATATGCTAAATTTTAAATTATTTTAGCATTTAAGTTAATTCTACTATGACAGGAGGAATTAATCTATCTTCGAGTTACTGGGGATTATAACTCTCATAAATCCTAAAATTAATGTTATCAGCAAACAAAAAAGTGAATGAACTCAAACTAATGCATTCTACATTGTAGAATTAATAGTTAAATTGTTAAGAGATTCAAGACTTAATAAGGTTTTAAATATATGTATTGGTAGGAACTAAAGATCACAGCACAACCTGAAAATGTGGGGGACTGAAAATCAATCAATCAATCATTGCAATATTTGAGGTAGAAAATATGAAACTGAAATAGATTCCATTGCTTTTACTCACATGATTTTTATCCTGAGACAGCAGCAATATTCTAAGACTTTTCACATTTGAGCTTCGGTCTAACAGATCTATTGCCTTATCAAGATCATCCTGACTTTTCAAAGGAATAGATAACTGCAAAGAATAGAGACAATAGAGTTCATAAAGGTGCATTCCATTTTAAATTCTGAATAGCAACAAGGGAACACTTGTTGAACAAGGGTACAGCAAGGCCACACTGACTCTTATACTGCTTTATGTAAATAGATTTGGTATAACCAGAATTTATGTAAGGAAAACATATATAAGCTATAAAAGGGCAATGCTATTTCTTCAGGTATACTTTGAACTGCATTTATTTTGCATGAAGGAAACAATTCTATTATCACCTTTATAACTTAAAGTTATTTCTACATGCATTTCCCTAACTGATCTCCAGAAAATCTTCTATTCCTCTGAATTTATTTTAAGAAGAGTGTGGAAAAGAGATGAATTAAATTTTAATACTAAAAATCAGTTTAGCAATTTCAAATTTTTAAGCTGGTTTCCATGTATTTTCCAATTATACTTTTTTTTCAATAAGTAAAGACCTCTTCAACTTGACACTTTCTGTATTATCTGAACTACATGCTAGAAGGGAATCTGTTTCATAATAATTTTATTAAATGTAAAAAGCAGATTAATTCCCAACACATTTGGAGGACACTCAATATAGAAAGCAACTGCATTTTATAACATAAAATATGAAAATACAAAAGCAAAAAGTAGGGGACAACAGTAGAGAAAAGGAAAACAAAAAAAGTGTGTAGAAAGGGTGGGGGAGAAACAAAAGGCATTGACTTCCAAGTCTCTTTGTTGCAGCAAAATCAGACATTAAAATCAAATCTCAATTTTTTACATTTCTATAGTAATATGCACTAGCCATTTTTGTATCGGCAAATGAGTCTAATCCAGGGGTGTCAAACTGTCGGCCCATGGGCCGGATACATCATTCCAAAACCACGCCCACCTGTTGCGAGTTTGACACCCCTGGTCTAATCAGTAAAACCCAAATCATAATATCATTTTTTTCTACCTCACACACAAAGTCCAGAAGTGGTTTCCAAGAAGAAACAAAAATACTTATGTTCTTTTCTTTTATCAGCACAGTCAATTTGGCCATCTCTGCTAATTCCATCAGCTTTTATAACCATTGGTCCATGGTAGGAATCGAGGCATTCTTCCTCTTTTGTGCATAGAGCAATCTTGCTGTCCTCACCATATATAAAATCAGAGTTCCATTTTTTTTCCAGTTCTCTTTCCAATAAACTCAGAAGGAAAGTTTGTGATTTAATCTTTATGTTCACTTTAAGATTTTTTTTGCATTAATATATGAATCCTACCCCAATATTTCTTAGTCTTATCACATGTCCACCATAAATGATAAAAAGTCCCTTCTTTACATTTACATTTCCAACATTCATTTGAAATACCTTTATACATTCTAAATAACTTATCTGGTGTTAAATACCAGTGATACATCATTTTGTAAAAAAATTCTTTTAGGTTATAATTTAATGTGAATCTCTCCTACTTCCTGAAAGGATCATTAATGTATTGATCCTCTCAAATGCTCCATTTATTTGAAAACTAATTATTCTCTTTGGTAAAATTCCCTTAAATGAAACTTTAAATATAATTAGTTATCTGTCTGAAAACCAGGAACTGCAATTATTCCAGACATTGTTAAAGCCAATACAATTTTTCAGAAAACTGGAGCTGTACAAATCATTTTCGAGAGTCACAAGTACTATTTGGAGGGGGGGTGTTTGGTGCCACAGACTTACATTTTCTGAGCAGGTATTTACATGTACCCAGGGCTTTTTTTCTCATAGAACGCCCAGAACGGAGTTCCGGCACCTTTTTGGGATGGAACCTTGTAGGGTAGGCAAGGCAGGTTGTATGACGTGTGTGAGTTCTGGCATCTTTTTTTTTTTTTTTTTTTTTAGAAAAAAAGCACTGCATGTACCAAAGATATATAATAAGTTAGTACCTCATTATTCATGTAGTAAAGATCCAGTGGCTGCCCAAAAGCTGTTTTCACTTTCTGCTGAACATCTTCATAGCGGACAGGCCGGATAAAGGGGATGATTCTGGATGGGACACCAAAATAATGATTATGGCAGCAAAGTGGGCTCTAGATAGTTCATGTAACAAAATGGTTTGGACAGTGTATCAAACTTTTTTTCTGCTTTCTTCTAAATTGTTAATATAACAATGTTCTTTGCTAATATTCATAAATTCTCTCTACTTTATTTTTACAGGCAGTCCCTCCATCTTGGATTCTGTTATTTATGTAATTTTTAACCTTTAATAGTAAAAGAAAAAACAAAAGTTTCAGTATAGATCAAATTCAGCTTAAACAAGATAACTGCAAAAGAGTCAGATTAGCTTATATTGGGGCAATGATAGGTTTTTTTGGCATTTGGGGTCACTGAATTTGAAGTGAAACACTCAAGATGTGAGCGAAGTGATGACTTTCAGCTTTAATTCAAGAGGTTTGACAAAAGTGCAGCTGTTAACCATTGAGAAATTACAGCCATTTTAACACATATACCTGCCCTCCCAGTTTTGGTGTCTCATAAATGATGGGACAAATGGCTGTCAAGCAGTTTCATGACCAGGTGTGACCTGTTCCCTCATTAGTCCATGGCAAATCAAAGAGCTAAAGGTCTAGTTTCGAGTGTTACATTTGGTAGCTGTTCACTGGAACATTCAACATGAGGTCCAAAGAGATGTTTATGCGCTATCATTAGGCTGAAAAAAAACCAAATTAAATCCATCAGAGAGATAGCAAAAATATTGGGAGTGGCCAAAACAACAGTTTGCCATTCTTAAAAAGAAGGAATTAACTGGCAGGCTCAGCAACACCAAAAGGCCTGGAAGACCACTGAAATGGATGACTGCAGAATTCTGTCAGTGGTGAAGAAAAACTCTTTCGCAATGTCTAGCCAAGTCCAGCCAAGTACAATCAAATGACAGCTTCATGAGAGTAAATCACTGATAACACTCAAGAAGATAAAGGCCAGATTAGACTTTGCCACTTAAAAAAGCCTGCCCAATTCTGGAATAAGATTCTTTGGACTAATGAAATGAAGAATGATGGGAAAAATCTGGAGAAGAAAAGGAACAGCTCATGACCCAAAGCATACCACATCATCTGTCAAACATGGTGGAGGCAGTGTTATGATATGGTCATGTATGGCTGCCAGTGAAACCAGGTCAATGGTGTTTATTGGTGACTTGAGTGCTGATAAAAATAGGAGGATGAAATCTAAGTGTACAAGGCTGTATTCTCTGCTTAGATTCAACCAATTGCTGAAAACTGATAGGACGCTGATGGATAATGACACAAAATATATAGCAAAAGCAACCCAAGAGTTTCTCTAGGTAAAAAAAAGGGGATATTCTTCACTGGCCGAGTCAGTCACTTGATCTTGGTGCAACAGAAGGTTCACTTACTGAAGGCATGACTGAAGACAGAAAGATCCACAAACAAACAACAGCTAAAGGCAACTGCAGTAAAGGTGTGGCAAAGCATCTCAAAGGAGGAAACTCAACATTTGTCCTTTATATGGGTTCCAGAAATTCAGGCATTGACTGCAAAGGATTTTTATCCAACAATAAAAAAAAACAATTCTTGTATTTGTAGTTACATTAGTTTGTTGTTTATGAGCCACCAAAATGGGAGTGGGTGTATTAAAATAGCTGTAATTTCTCAATGATTAATGCCACACTTTTGTCAAACCCCATGAATTAAAGCTAGAAGTCTTCCCTTCACTCATATCTTGAGGGTTTCATTTCAAATACAATGTGGTGGTGTACAGAGGCCAAATGCCAAAAGACTTATCATTGACCCAATATACAAACCTGACTGTGTATCTGAATTGCAGTAAAGTATGTAAAAAGAAAGAACAAAAATCAAAGTCTTACCGCCTTTCTCCATTATGTTCAAACTTTATCCTGATGTCATTCTGCCAAAATAAAATTATTCATATTACCTATTAAATACTTTGATAATTTTATTCAGTGCATCATAAAAGCATCTAAGAGGATATTTTATCATTTAAAGTCACCCAGCATAAAACCCAATAAAACAATTAAAATCATATACAGCGCAGGCTAAGACAATTGTAACAACAACAAGAAACCACAACAGAGTCCCCCAAAATACATAGTTCTAGACCTGAAACCAAAGCCAGGTTTAAAAGTCTTCTAGAACCCCAGTAGGAAGGGTACTGTCTGTAACTTTGGGTGGGGGGTCTGTTTCAAAGGGCAGGGATTAAGACAGAGAAGGTATACTTCCTGAGTACCTAAGATGACAACGTTTAATAGTAGGGACATGGAGCAGACCACTCTTCTGGAATCTACCAAGTGGGCAGAGACAATTGGAGATAGACAGATTCTCAGGTGTCTAGACCTTAAGTCATGCAAGGCTTTATAGTTAATAACTAGCAGTTTGAATTGCACTTGGAAGTTGACTGGCAACCAATGCAGATCTCTTAGCAGTAGTGCCACATGGATATATCCAAAAGTGCCTGTTACTGTTTGTGCCATTGCAGAAGCTGTAGCTTCTGGATTGAAGAGAAGCCCCATGTAGAACACACTGCAATAGTCTAGTCACCAGGGCATGAGTAACTGTCTGAAGAACTTCTGATTATTTATTTATTTGTTTATTAAATATATATGCTGCCATCTTACCTAAATGTAACTCTAGGCAGCTTACAACAAATAAAAGCAACAAGATAATATTACAACATTAAAACAATAAATATTAACACTAAAATTGACTTAAAATTAACAAAGATGAAAATGAAGAAAAGAGGGAAATAAAATGCACAAGGGGAGGGAGGTAGAAAGGGCACAACTAGCACACAAGATGAATCTATACGAAGGCCTTCCTGGCCACAATTACACCAGCTGTTTTATTTTATGATTAGATTAATTATCACCAACCCAATTCAGTGTATCTGACACTTTCTTGTTCAGATGAGCAAACGATATCAATTCTAATATTTCTCGCCAAAAATGCTTTCTTAGTTTAACATTTCTTGTAAAATCCAAGTAGTTTCTAGCAATAGCAATATACTTAGATTTATATATCATTTCAGAGTGCTTTACAGCCCTCTCTAAGTGGTTTTACAGAGTCAGCATATTGCCCCCAAAATCTGGGTCCTCATTTTACCCACCTCGGAAGGATGGAAGGCTGAGTCAACCTTGAGCTAGTGAGATTCGAACTGCCAGCAGCCTGCAATGCTGCATTCTAACCACTGTGCCATTATACAATGTGCTCTAGATGGGGCTGCTCTTAAACAGTATCCAGAAGATGTAATTGGTCCAGAATGCAGCAGTGCTGGCAGTTATGCATTGTGGTGCACTCATGTTACACTTTTACAATTAGCTATACTAGCTTCAAATGTTTTTCTAGCTGCAATCCAAGAGTCTGTTTGTCCCCTATAAAGCCTGTCGTGGCATAGGGGCAGGTTATTTGTGGGACCTATTTTCTCAATTGTTTCTACCCATCCTGTAGATCTAGGAGAGGCATTGTATTAGCCCGTGAATTAAAGAATATTACCTCGTGGGATCCAGGAACAGGCTTTTTGTGTCACAGCACCTGACAGATTAGGTTGGCCCTAACGCTCCTGCTTTTCAGAAAACACTGAAGACATGGATGTGTTCCCAGGCATTAGAATCAAACTGTTTGTTGGAGTATGTTATTGTTCCATAGGTAGCAAATTGATTTTGTACCCTGGCTGTCATTAATGTTTGATGTTATATAATATTATGTTAGCTGCCCAGAATTCCTGCTGTGAGATGAGCAGCCACATAAACTGAATGAATGAATAAAACCCTGCATGCTACCTGTAACAATTACTTCTATCAAGATAGAGTCCCAAATTTTCTTTCAGAGTATCTCATATATTTACTTCTGGATATAACACAAGATCTGAAACTCAGGTATGCTTTTCTATTTGAAGAAATCCAGAAAAATGCTGCTTTTCATTTTATTCTTTCAAATTAATGCTATTTGTGCTACTGTAAAAGGTATACTACTGGCTGAACAGTAAACTATTGAATTAGCTTTTTAGGTGATTTAAAAAAAACATTTAACAGTGAACATTAGAAGAGAAAACAATTTGTTTTACCTGTGACTTTTTTTCCTCTACTGCAAGACTACTTTGTTTTCTTATCATAAGGTTGCTTAGGAGACCTGGGCTGCTGGCACTGTGTTTTTTCTTAAAGAGGGAAAAAACTCAATTATTTATTTAGAAGAGAAAAATTCAAAGTTGTATGATATGTGAATGAGAAGTGTAAGGATGAGTGTGTAAAATGGAAAGAATAGGTTTGTGAAACAATCTTAAAGGTACATGGTAGGAAGTATCTGAGCATGGAGAGAGAAGGATGGAAGATATATGCACATCTGTGGAGATATTTTGGGGGAGAATGGAATGGTTAATACGTGGAATATTTTCCCATGACAATATTCCCAATTTCTTGAGAATGGCACAGCTATGACTTGACCATAGTACACGGTAGTAGTATTATCCATCTCTCTTGAATTACCTTTGATAACACGCTCTATTTCCTCCAAATTGAAAATAAGTATGATAGAACCTTTGGGTTCTTCAAGGCATTGGAGGAGAGTAAAATATGTTACTGAGTATAGCTGCAGAAAGGTAATGGGACTGGAGGAATTAATTCCTGAGCAATGTTTCTATTAGCCAAACATATGTATGATAAGCAAGGTTCTACTTCTCAGGAAGGTATTACCTGTCTATTGGAATGTGGAGAATCTTTGTTCTTCATGCTATCAAAACCAGACAATCTGGGACGCCGGCTCATTTGGAGGGCAACCAAGTCCTTCATGATAGAATTCAAAGCCTCCTGTTCATCTGAAATAAAAACAAGGATTTCCAATGACTGGCCAATTTTGGGAAAGGAAAGTTTCCTCCTCCCCACTGTTTTGTATATTATTTATTACAATTATTTATCTTCTGACAATATAACAATCTCCCCCAAACAGCTGGCAAGTAACATAAAGGATAATAAATATTTTTATCATATTATATTAACAAAAACCCTCTCTTAGGATATTTCTAATATTTGCATGTCCAATAAATTTACAGTATACCAATCTCTCCCCAGATCGGGCAGGACCATTTTTAATTTTTCTCCCTTCTTGCTTGCATTGTGTCTAATCATCACTAAATTACACAGGTAGCCCTCAATGTATGACTGGTCGCTTAGCAACCATTTGAAGTTACAACCTATCTGAAAAGGGGACTTAGGATCTGGACCAGAGGTTCCAATGCTCACTGCTCCCCCACAATCATGTAATAGCACTTTGGGTGCTCACAAACACAGCTGCATTTTACAGCCATTTGCAGTATCCCATGGTCACGTGACCATGTTTCACAACACTTTTGCGGAAAAACTAGCACTTACCTCCAGTTTGGCAAAACTGTTCTATAGTAAACCATAGGTTTCTCTTAATGACCGTGGCATTTGCTTAATGGCCGTGTCTACTTAACAACAGATGCAAACATGTCATAAAATCAGATTGATCATGTGACTGACCAATTTTATGACCATTATAACTTACGATTGCAATCAATGCACAGATTCCATTACAGTTATAATTCAAGGACTACTCATATTACTATATGAGTACTATAAAGATCTGTCCTTTCTCAAAAATATTTATCTAGTTTGGGTATAGAAGCAAAGACCCAAAACAAATATTTTCTTATATTAATATTACATTAAAAAAATTGGAACATTACAATCTGTGAAAAAGTTCATAACTTGGGAGTATTGAAGGAAAAATATTATCATGTATTCATGGAATATTAGTAATAATTGGATTAACAAAATTTGTCAACTTTCAGTCTTGAAATTAACTTTTTACTGAAGGAGAATCAAGAAGGAAAAGAGAATAAATATATTTCTATATAGCCTAGGTTTAATTCAGTGCTTATTCATTAAATTATTAAATCATTATATTGCAATTAATAAAACAATGTAATTTTAATAGTCTGAAAAGTGGGTTTTCTTTAATTTTATAGATGTAGATATGTAGATATAAATAGAGATATAATTTAAGTACAGATTTTTTTCTCAGAGTTATGTGTAGTTTAGTTTTTGTATTTTATGAAGTTTTTTAGATTTACTGAAGTTTTTGGTCTCCCCGCCTTTTTCTTTCCTTGATAATTATTTGTATTTTTTCTTCTCTCACTAAGTAGCTACTTTATATAATAGGTTAATTTTCTTTTTTAAAAGTGGATAGTCATTTATACAATGATAATATAATAATATTGTTATTTAGTTTAAATATAACTTTGCAAAATAATAATAACAATACATTAAAACTTATATTCCTTGGAAAAAAGCTTGGGTGAAGAGCCAGGTCTTCACAGGTCTTCTAAACCAGGGATTCTCAACTCCTGAGCCATGGCCCGGTACTGGACTGCAGCCTATTCGGAACCAGGCCACAGAAGCAGCGAGCGAGCATGCAAGCGCATAAAGCTCCATTTGCACGAGCGGTGGACACGCCCATGAGCGCATGAAGCTCCATTTGTGTGAGCGGAGGATGTGTGTGCCCACCGCTTGTGCAAATAGAACTGGGTGCAAGCGTGCGCGTGCCTGCTGCTCACACAGAACCATCCTCTCTCTCCCCACACTGGTCCACCAAGCTGGAAAGTTTGAGGATGGCTGTTCTAAATGACAACAGAAGGGGGGCCATTCAGATCTTTGGGGGAACCTCGTTCCAGAGGACAGCTGCTACCTACAGAGAAGGTAGCAAATTCTGCAGGCAAGAAGAAACACCCAATGCTGTTTCATTTAGGCTTTAATGGTCTTATATAAATTGAGTATATAGACTACTTCTTTTACTTAATCACAGCATGTAAATCTAATCAAATAGATCAGAACTGCCCTTATTTTAAATGAGAAATTCAGCCATAAGTCAGTAAGCAATGCCTGCTCCATCTCCACACATTGAGGAACAGAGAAAGCAAATCATTTCCTGCTTATAAGAATGTCAAATTTATTTATTTTAATTTATAATACTTACAACTTGCTCCAGTCCCAAGAGTCTGTATGATGTATCACATCACACAAAGGAAAAGTTAAAAATATTATATTCAAATCAACATTAAAAAACAAAACAGATTTTAATAAAAATATTAAGATTTTTAATAGGTGCATATAATCAGTCAGCTGATACCAAAAGCTCAAGGAAATTAAATAGCTTTAACATGTTTACAGAACATTTCATAAAGAGAAGCTACTAAAGATTAGTCATGCCATCTTATATCTTATGAATCTTATGAGAGAGGAAACTTTCACCAGGATCTCTTTCAGACTCAATTGTTGCAAGACATTGCCTGAAATATCTTGCTGCAATACCATTTGGGATTTTAAAGATAATGACCTGCTGGATGAATTGGTCCCAAAAGGCCATCAACAATCAATGCAGCATTTTGCAAAAGCAGCTTCCAGATCATTTCCAACTGAATGGTGATCAAAGTATGAATTCAAGAGTTGAGATCACCTGTCCAGCTAAGCTTCAACTGGTGCATCAATGAAAGCTAGGCAAAGGCTCCCACAAATCCCAAATCACTTTTTTTGTGAGGTGGAGGCAGCATGACCCCATCCAAAATAACTACTATATTGGGCCTCGTGCTATTAAAATGCCCAAATATCTACTGACCACTAGCAATTTGGTAGGATTACATCCAAACTTGTTTTATCCACTCCATGTCATAATGATTTTCAGGTACCCATTAAAGATTTCATTTCTAACATTTTAGACTTACAACAATCCTCATGCCATGGCCTGATTCAGGGGAGGAGGAGGAGGAGGAGGAGGAGGAGGAGGAGGAGGAGGAGGGGGAACTATGACCATCTGACGGGGATGGTATGTCTCCCTTGGAATGTTTGAAGAGGCCAGGGGCTGAGGATGATTTTGTCCCAGGCCCCTCTGGCATTGGGGGAGGTGGTTCACCGGGCAGAGAGTTGCCTGCCCTCACAAACACAGGGGAGGATTGGCTGCTGACAGGAAGGAGTGCTGATAGGCAGCAGATCCCCTCTGATGAGGAACAGCTGCCTCCCCCACTTGATCCAAGGGCATGGAGAGCGGAGCGTAGGCAAGCTCAGAGAAGGGCTGCAAGGCTACTCGGGAGAAGGTTGCCCCATCCTCTCACAAGGAACACCTGGAGTGGATTGACTTAAGGATAAGCCATGGGAAGTTAGTCTTTGCCAGGAACAATTGTTTGGTTTGGCTTACACTCCCCCATCTTTGACTTGTGCTTTTTGCCTTGCCTTGAAAATTGCCTTTTGCCTTGTACCTTGCCCTTGCCTTGAGGACTACCTTTTGTCTTGTGCCTTGACTTTATCCTGTGGATAAAGTTTGCCTCATGAATTCGCTCACCCGAGTGTACTGGACTTGGGATTCTGGATCTTGTCCTTTGAGCATGCTCCTACTCTGTGGACTTTCTTTGTTATATATGGGCTGTTGTTTGGGGAACTGAGGGTGGCTGTCTTCAGGGTAGCATGAGGTGGAGCCTTACCAATCATTGGAGGGCTGTTTGTTGGAACATTTACTTAGAGCAATAAAGATCTCTCTAGAGGCCTGCTTTCCCCTGATGACCAGGGTCAAAACACCTCATTGCATTGTTATAGAAAAAGAATGAGTAAATAATTGTGCTGTTAGAAATAAAATAACATATAACTAAAATCATTATATATAAGACACACAAAAACATGTTGGATGTCTTAAAGTTATGTTCTGAAAAAATACATTAAATTTTCAGACAATTTTATATTTTTGGATATCCATTTTACTGAACTATATACGGTACTTATTATATGGATGTTGGCAACTGGATATTTCATTATTAATAGATAGTTAAGGTACGTTTATGGCTCCAATTAGTGGGCAGAAAACATTGTGTTATCTGTGATTTATGAACAAGTTACTTTTATAGATTATATGTTGACAATTACAAAGAAATATAGTCTTCCTGTATTGAAATTTTGTATTAAATTTTATATACATAGACATTTACTCATACAATTGTATTTTTATTGCTTTTTTACTTTCACTATTATTTTATTTTTATTCTTTGTTCTGTTTATGTAAATAAATAACAGGAAAAAAGAGAGCTCAATGTTATCACTCACTTGGTCCAGAGTAGTGATATATATTTGAATGTCATCAGCCTATCAGCAATATCTCATTCCTAAAAAACAGATGATTGATTAATTCCAGTCATTTCATGTAGATGTTAAACAACATGAGGGAAAAGTCTGCAGAACCCTGTACCAAAATTCCTGTAGACACAAGTACATCTTTGTGAAAAATGTAAAACAGTTGTAACTAATTAATATTCAGTTAATTTAAATAGAAAATTTAACTATTACATATCTTTTGATTGAAGCTCTTGTGGAACCTTTTAAAAATGTATTCTGGGAAACAGAACACAAGTCAATTAGAAATATTTTGAAAAGGACATAGCAATAATGGTAGGAAAATACTTTTTAACTGGCATTTCATGGCTTTTTTTAGAAAATACTAGTGTTGATGACTTCTAATTCATATAAAACTGAAATTAATATCAGCATAATAAAATGTAACTTTGAAAAATATTTCCTTATGTAGGGGAACTGGATTATGCGTTATGTATTGTATATGACTCATGAAATATCATGATCTAATTCAACTTCTAGAGTAAAACTTTATGACTTTGGAAAGTTAATTAAGAAATGACTACAAATGAAGGCTTGGCAACACTGAACAATGCTGAAAGGCAGATTTTTTTTGTAAAATGTTCAGTAGATCTAGGGAAATAGTTCTGCTTTTGCTGGAATGCTGTTGTCCAGGAAATTCTTCTCATGTTTTAAAAGCCATGCTCCACTTTATATTATTGAGGAAAAGGGAATTAGTATTTATGAGAAAGTTATAGTACAGTATCAAATATTTATTCTGAGAGTTAGATGGGCGGTACCTAAATTTGATTAATAAATAAATACAATTTACAAATCAGTATTTGTTCTGGATAAGTGTTAACCAAATTAAACAAGTGCTACTTGTAGAATTATATGAAGAGAAAGCATAATGCCAATATGTTAGTACATGAAAAAATTGAACACATTAATTTATTCTTCTAATCTAGATTTATTTAAATGCACCTTGGAAATTATTGTAATTTAACAAATTTTAATCATTAGTATTGTAAGAGACTGAATTATTCATGAACAATCCAATACATATTTACTTAGATTGTTCCTGTACATGACCAAGTCAAGCTTTCTCATCGCACCCCCAGGTTTCAGCTCCTTCACAATAATCAGCTAGTCTAGCCAATACATTTCTAAAGCCAGTCTTGGACAGGAAATCAGGATATCATCAGTATTTATTAAGTTGGAAATTTTCCAACCATTAAATGAGGGGGAGAAAAAAACTTTATGACAATGGCCACTGTAATATTTATTAATATAAAAGTTAAAGAAGAAAGGAGCAAGTAAACAGATCTGACTCCCTCTCCAATAAAATAGGATCTGACAAGAACTCTGGTGGGCCCATTCTTACTTTGAATGTAATCTCAATATGTAGTTCAATTATTAATTTAAGAGGTGCCTACTGATGCCTGTCCTAGCTAATTTCTCTCAAAGCTGAGACCTGTCAACTGAAATAAAGGTAGAACTAAGAACAATAAAGGGAATACAGTGTTGTTTTGCTTGTCTATTTGTATTTTTCTGAATAAAAAACTTCAATCTATTCTATGTCCTTTTTGAAACCCTGTTCTGAATGGAATTTATCTAATTTATTCAAAATATGCCTGGCATAAAGCTCAGAAGAGATATCTAATTGGATGATAACTAGCAGGTTCTTGTTAGTTGCTTTTCTGGAGAACTGAATATATTATGCTTTTCTTACAATGGGGTAGTACAACATATTTTATCTATTTCTAAGAAAAGTCTAGTTATATTCTCTCTAGGAGATTTTCCAAATGCCAGGGTTAAAATCAGCTGGTGATACTCAGATGTTTTGATAGATGGACACTCTGGTTGTAAGCTTAATTCAACAGAAGTTGTTATTGGCTCAGTATGAACAGCTGCAGTAGAGAAAAAATTCTGAGTCCAATTTTGGACTGGGACATGGTGCTGTGTGTGAAAATATCATTATCTACCAGTTCCCAAAACTTCTCATTTTTTAAATTAAACTGAGACTAGGTTCTATACATTGATGCCTATAAAAAGATGACTTCTTAAGTCTTTAATAATTCCTTGTATTAGGATCAGAATTGGATCAATAACTAAATAAAAGAATCTGTCCTTTTCTCTATGTGTAGCTTTCTCAGACTAGTCTTTTGTTACTACAATTTTGTTCATATCATTTTTTCCTTGTATTATTTCTCCTGCAATGATAGCAGTGCTTATTTGTGAGCACTTTATTGAACTAAAATGTACACATTTGTACACATTAAATTGCAATACAAAAGGCCTTTGATTCAACATCTATGGGGCATTTTAAAAAGTAGAAATTTTCTTGCTGAGGTTGGTGCTCCATCCAAGATAGCATTTAACCTTGATTATAGTATCTCAAGATTATAGTATTTCAAGATCATCCAGTCTCAACAGTACCTATCCTTCCATTCCCCCACCATCACAACTGATGAAGCTTCTTGGATGAGAAGCAAAATGTTTAATTCTTCTTCCTCAAGGGAAAAAAGTCCACCTTTTGAAAAAGCATCTTTGAGAACTGGATTGGAACAAAACAGCCTGACTGCTCAGTTTAACTGAGAGCTAAACACTAAAAGGAGTTCCCCAGAATTTAGATCAGGTTTAAACGATCCTTGACTCATGTGTGAAAGAAATTCAATGCCAGTTTGGGCAACAGAAAGAACCAAGCTCAAAGTTTCACTATTTCTCTCCACTCATGCTGGCTGAGACTAAGTTGGGGGAGGAGGAACCCATGCAAATAGGGATGGCAAGGAGAATGGCAGGTGCCATTTGTGCAGAGGCACAAAGAATTAGTGCTTTGCTTTTACTGCAGAGACCTGGGCATATGCCAAGAGTCTGCCAGGCCAAAATCCCGCAAAGAGGACAAAGACTATCCAGCCAGGGCATAGAACACCATATGGAGTGAAAAGTAGAGGCCAGGGAAAAGACAACAGCCCCTCCTGCAAGAGCTCACAGGAGGGGCTGCTCAATCATAAATAGGCTCGATTCTATCTGAATCAAGGTACATTGCTGAAAATTTCTGTTACTCTGACTTTACCCAATAGGGAAGAAGAAACACTGAAGCCTTTAGTGGACTCTGAGCAACTGCTTTGCTGATTTCATAGAATTAGCAACAATTTTGAAGCATTGCAGATTCCATAAGACTTACTATTCTACTATTCCAAGTAGAAACGATAGATGGTCAGCCCTTAGAACAAATCCAATTACACAAGCTACAGTCCTCCTGCAACTATCAGTTGCAAAGCATACACAACTGTTTCCTATTTACATCATGCACCATCTTCACATCCTAATCATATTAGAATTGGCATCGCAGAAGCTTCACAACTCTGCAATAAACTGGGAGACAGGGACTCTTGACTTTTCCCACTCCAGCTGGCCAAACTTCATTGTGTGGCCTCTTTGAAGCATGCAAAAGAAAATCCTGGGGTGAAGAGGCAAAGTTGCTAGATAAGTACAGAGACTTTGCAGACTCTGGTGGAAGAGGAAGCATCAGTCTTTCTCACACATAGAGACTATGCTTTAAAAAAAATCTAGTTCATAAATATAGAAAACACAGCACCATAATTTACTAACCCAAATGGTGTATTTGAACTTGTCGAATGCTGTCAAAAAATTGACCCTCCTCCTTGACTCTGATAAGATTATATGCATTTTGCAGGTCCAACTTGATAAATATATGCACACTGCAATCTATCCAATTAGTCCAATATGACTGGTACTAGATAATTGTCTCTCAGTTATGACATTAACACTTTGTAGTTGTGAACTATCCTCATTGGGACCTCACTGATTAGGTTTGGGGAACCAGGGTCTTGCTTCTTAAGGACAAAGAAGGTAGGCGCTGAAGCCGGTGACTTTGAAGGTCTAATCAAATCTTTTTGCAGATTAGAATTGAAATATTGCTTCAAAATTGACAACTCCTTGGCTGACATGGGATATTGCATCTTTGCTGGGATTTTAATCCCTGGGACCAAATAAATCACACACTAACTGCAACAGTTAGATTTCTTGGCTTACTGCATTTCCATAGATGGAGTTCAAATGGATC